AAATATATCCATCACCAAAGTGAAAAGTAAAGGGGAATGAGGGCAACCTTGTCTTAGACCCCTGCTTGCCTTGAAATAACCTTTCGCTTCACCATTTATCAATACTGAAAACCATGGAGAGCCAATACAACCTTTAATCCACCTGATCTAGTTTCTCCCAAAACCTCTTAGCCTTAAGCAATCAAGAATGCAATCCCAATCCACTTTGTCGTACACCTTCTCAAGATCAAGTTTCACAAGGACCCCAGGATCCCAGAGGAGCTACTTCATATTACCTTGCATTTATCCATAGTTAGGTGGTATACATATTTATCCTTGCACTGCTTGATAAAATCAAAGTCACAGTTTTCCAAAACATGAGGAGCTACTTCATATACCTTGCATTTATCCATAGTTAGGTGGTATACATACAAATAATGATAAAGGAACATAACTGAGAGGATAAGGGTTGAGATCGTAGTCTGGGATCATTAGCATTTGGGACCCCAAAAGTAGTCCAGGTGTGATCAAATTTGAGGTTGGTGAAAGGGACTCTATATAGGAATTAATTTTGGGGGATGATGGTTATTCTGCAAGTCAATCCTTCCAATGTCCACTCCCTGTAATGCTTATCCAATGTTGTGGCAATAAAAGGCTTGGTCAGAATAACATCTTAGGGTTAGGGTTCGGTTTCTGACCATCTACTTGTGGTGGTTGGGCTGTACATGGGCCTCAATTGGGCTGTATCTGATGCCTGGTTCAATGCAGTTGAAATTCAGGCTTGAACTGTGTGGTCTGTCCAGGGTTGGGTAGATAATGTAGATATTGTTGCAGACAAATGGTTCTCTTTCAAGTATTTAAGAATATCGTTTTTAAATAGGGGCAAATTGGTTATAGGGTAAGATCTGATGCATGAGTTATAGGGTGTGAATCTCAGAAAAATACCTATTAAGTTTTGCAGCTTTCCAAGTTTGTCCTTGGGAATTGTGCTTTAAAGCTGCATAGCTTTCCCAATCTGTTTACTATATGTGAATCCTATAATGTCCAAATAGATCAGTGAAAGAAGTTAGCATGGTTGGTAGAGATGATTGGATTCTGGATGTTGGTTGATACTGGACTTGTTGAGGAATTTATTTGGTTGAGGAAAGTGGCAGGAAATAAGAAGTGATACATAAATTTTAGGAAGAATATTTTGGGACAAGATGAAATAGAAAATCATTCTTTTTTCTATCTATCTCAGATAGTAGTGGAGGAAAAGTTGGGGATAATTCTAGGTTTTAAGTTTCTTAAAAAGGGAATTTCAAATTTTCTTCATCTTTTTCTTTTAATTGTAATTTTAATGATAATGTTCAATCCATTATATGATTGTCATATATTATGTTTCTTTCTTCTCAAGTGGTACCTGTTTGAATTCTTCTTGCTTTTATGCAGATATATTGAAAGGCTCCTTCTATGCAAATCCAATATTAGATATACCAACAGCTGACACTTCCTTGATCCAACGGTAATAGTGGATAGAGCAAGTGCATGACTTTGTTCATTATGAAGTTGCCAACAATTACACCCATGTTATTATTGATTTCCTGCAAAAACTTATTATAAATATACACAAGCCTTTCTATCTTATGTAAATAAAAAGACAACAGTAGCTCTGAGACAAAATTTCATGTTCATGGTTTAAACATTTATTTAACATTCTCTCAGGTTTGGTTAATTGGTTATCCAACAACAGTGGCCTGGTTTTGGGTTTGTTTTTTCTTGTAAATCCTCTTTTAAATAAACAATCTTAGTTAGGTTTCCCTTTTCACCTGGTATTCCTCAATGAACCTTCTGAAACTTGATATAATGTGGAACTCCTATTTCCTTTGTTAGTCAAATATCTAAATCAGCTAAAAGCTGCTTTTGCACCCACCTCCCCTTCTGGGAAAAAAAGGAGTCAATTTTGTTCTGTCATTTGATATTTTTGATAGTCACCTTCTAAACTATGAGTGCAACTGTGCAGTTAATTAGTGAAGTGAAAAAGTTAATGGTAGTAATCCCCCCCATTTCTTGTGCTTAGGTGTAGTTTTCCCTTTTCTGTTGTGTAGGTATCCATCATACTGCCAGCCAAACATATGGCCTCGTAAATCTCTGCCAGAACTTGAATTAGGTATTTGATCTTCTAATTATCAGGATTCAATACATGTTTTCAGCATATGGGGAATCTTGTTTAGGGGATGTACCTACTGTAATGTTCATTTTGTTTAGCCGTTCAAGTGCTAAGTTCATGGTGAGACTGATTCTTTTTTTTTTTTTCTATTAATGTCAGATATGCACACCAGGTACTAATATAAGCATTGTTATGGTATCATTGTTAATAGGTTTCCTAAGCTCTGTTACCTAGATACTTCATAGTGGGTGTTGTATTATTTTAGAAACTTTTATTGTGTAAGTTCTGTATCTGCATTTTGCACTGTATCTGTAGTATATCTATGTTGTATCTGGGTAACATAGCTTTAGGTGTCATATGGATCATATGAACATAATATGTTAGTTTGAATCTTATCTGTATACAGAGTTTTGGATCAAATAATTAAGAGTGACAGATCTTTATGCAGTGAAGTGGAATGGGTGCTTAATTCTGTCAATGCAAATGGATCCTGCATTTTTTCTTTCTCCTCCCAAGTGTTTGTTATTTTATTTATTTCCATATTTCTAATATATTTTTGGAAAAATAAAATAAAATGCAACTTTCCTTTCATGTTGTTCTTTGGACAGTCATGTTTTCTGGAGGTGGTTAACCAGTTCGGTTTTGGGAGATATTTTTGTTGCGCATAGTTTTTCAGAAACTTAAATTAGAAATTTCATGTTCTGAAATAGTATTACTTGATGTCTCTTGTAGTACATTGTAATTCAAAGCTGTCTAACAAGGAAGTCATTGCTGATGTTGTAGCCTTCAAATCTCTTGGAAAGCTGATCTTTGATGTGGGATTGATGCTGGCTTATCATTGTGATAGATATGGTATTACCTTGTTACAACATTTGCAATTTTTTGTTGCCATAAAAGGAACATCTTATAATGGGTTGAATTAATATTAAGTTATAGTGAAATTCTTTGGGCTTGGAGCCAATTGCAGTGGAATTGCAAAGCAACTCTTTTTACAAACTAGTTACGTTTATGGTTCAGAGACTGCCAGTTAATTCCCTATTTTCATGTATTCAATGCTTACTTTTTTTTTTATTTTGCTAAATAATAGATTTAACTAGTGATCAAATAGAGGGAATAAATAAAAATACAGCACCAGCAACTGTGATAACAGAATTGTGGTATTTAAAACATAAAATGTTCAAACACTTACAGAAAACGTAAAACATACAAAGAACCTCTAGCCCATTGTCCATGGATGAGGATAAAACCATCAAGGCACCTGCAAATGATTCTGGAATAGAAGAAACTGAAAACAAAATGAACCATCCCTAGATATTGGCTTCAATATAAAGTTGTTCTTGTTACTCCTCCCCTGGTGAGATTATCCACTGATACGTTGTTTTGATAAGATGTCATTGGCTACAAGGGTCAACTGGACTGCCTCTGATGCAACCAACCTCTATGTGAAGCCCCCCTTAACCCAAGCATGCTAAAAGGCCAGAGAGTGCACCAGCAAGATCCTGAAGTAGAGTCTCTGCCCCCAACTGGGCCTGAGTGCCCAACCATGGCTCATACATGATAACTCCTTTGGATTTGTGGAACTAGCAATCCAATCACAATGCACCATGTATTGTTTCAATTGTCTTCATCCTCAAAAGGTGCTTAAATGACAAGGCGGTTACTGATTGGCCCAGAATAACTATTGACTATATAGTATAGCATTCCAGCTTGCAATAAATGAGCAAGCTTCAATATGTTGTTTGAATGTCATCCTATATTTATCAGTTTACCTGAAGTTACTTTTGTGTTTTAGCTGCATTAATAATATTGCAGCTTGAATGTATTTTCCTTTGTTCAATCTGCATTTTGGACTCTTCCTGACTATATTTTTCATAAACAGCGTCTAAAGGGATGACAAGGGATGATGAAGGCTTTGAGAAGATACTTATGTGTTCTCGCTGTCACAAAGGCCGTCTGCTTTATTATTTTCCAGCAGAGCAGAGGTATGTGGTTGTCTTCTGTGTAATGCAGTGAAGCAATGGCTAGTTGTTTTGTCCTCTCTAGTCGATGTGATGACTAATTGGTGCCTAGGTGCTGACTAGTCGATAAAAAAGACGATTCTAAATTTATGATATTAATGCAATCTCATAAATAAATTAATATAGACTACAATTATGCAAGAAAAGAATGATACAAACGTTTAGTTTACAGTCTTTATTTTTTAAACAGAAAAGAAGTTAGTCTGGATAGGCTAGATCTACAGCCTTTATATTTCTAAGAAATATTGCAGCTTTGACTATTTTATATACCATCATCCAATCATGTTCCATCAGAAATATTTAAAACAACAGATGAATATAACAAAATATAAACATATTCTATATTATTTTGAATAATTAGGTTGACTAGGTTGGTTTGTCAACCTAGTCGATGCTTAGTCATCACAGGTGACCACATCATTAATATCTACTAACTACAGCGTGATGCAGTCAGTCTGGCCCTCAACTCGCTAGCCAGTTGACACTTTGATAAGTGATAAGTGATAACATGGGTCTAATGTTATGAGTGGCTATATGAAGGCAATGTTTCTAAAATTCCAGTTCATTGTCATGTTTTGGCGATCATGCGCTTTTTTTTTTGATTGAGTAATTTATTAATGCTTGAAAAAAATTACAGATCCTTGTTACACAGTAGCCCAAATACATCAGAAACCAGAATGCCCGTCCTGATTACCATGTCTTGTCCAGACGCTGAGAGAGAGAGAGAGAGAGAGATCTGAGAGCAAGAACTGTTGCTGGCGGCACCAGCTTTTTTGGTATTTATATTAGGGCGACCATAACATAACATAAAGAGAGGGGAATTACAATAGTACCCCGCGACACTAATAGAAATAAAAACAAAGAAAAACAACTTATAAACAGCCTTTTAACACTTCCCCTCAAGTTGGGACATAGATGTCAATCATGCCCAACTTATCACATAGATCATTGTGCTGCAAATGATGTAACCCTTTTGTGAAGTTGTCCGCAAGTTGATCTTTGGACCCGACATAGGGGGTGCACACTTCCCCTTTGACAACCTTTTCTTTGATAAAATGCTTATTTACCTCAATGTGCTTGGTTTTATCATGCAGAACTGGGTTAGCAACAATGTTTATGGCTGCCTTGTTGTCACAATATAAAGTCATATGTCCAACTGTAAATCCTAGCTCACTCAATAGATTTTTTTAGCTACGTTATTTCAGCCACTCCATGAGACATTGCTCTATATTCWGCTTCAGCACTAGATCTGGCCACCACATTCTGCTTTTTGCTTCTCCAAGTGACTAGGTTTCTTCCCACAAAGGTACAGTAGCTGTTGGTAGACTTCCTATCATCCAATGATGCTGCCCAATCTGCATCAGTATACACTTCAACCTTCAAATGTCCGTGCTTTTGGAACAATAAACCTGCACCTGGGAATTTCTTAAGATATTTGAGAATTCTTTCAGCTACTTCAAGGTGGGTGTTCTTAGGGGCATGCATGAATTGACTAAGAACACCCACTGCATAAGCAATGTTTGGCCAAGTCATGGAGAGATATAACAGTCTTCCTACAAGCCTTTGAAATTGCTTCACATCTTTGATGAATTCACCTTGACAATCACTTAATTTGTGATTAGGATCAATAGGAGAATCAACGTGTTTTACTCCCAATTTTCCTATATCCTATAATAGATCTAGGACATACTTTTTCTGAGAAATGAAGATACCCTTTTGTGAGCAGGCAACTTTAATTCCAATGAAGTATCTCAAAGGACCTAGATCTTTCACCTCAAATTGAGTAGCAAGAAATCCCTTCAATCTTTGAATCTCATCTTTCCAATCACCAGCGATAACTATATCATCAACATACACTATTAGGGCTGCAATTTTCCTTTCCCCTCTTTTCACAAACAATGTATGATTAGATTGACGTTGCTTGTATCCTTTTTGTTGTACAGCTACATGGAACCTACTGAACCAAGCTCTTGGTGACTGTTTTAGGCCATATAATTAGGGATGTCCATGAAAAACCGAAAAACCAAACCGAATCGAGAAAACCAAACCGGAAATTTCTATTAACCAAACCGATCAGTTCAGTTTTGGTTTGGTATTTTTGAAAAACCGAAGGACCGGTTCGGTTTTTGGTTACCCTAGAAAAAAACCGACGGTTAACTGAACCGACTAGTATATATATTTATATGTATATTTTATATATATTTAAAATATATGTCACATATTTTATATATATTATATATAAATATATATGCATTATATATAAATATATAATATTTATAATAATCTATTTATAAATATATTATATTTTTATAATATTTATAATATATTATATATCATTTATTATTTATAATATAATATTATACATATATTTATATAATATATATTATGAATATAAAAAACCGAAAAACCGAAACCGGCAGATCGGTTAAGGTTTGGAGAAATTGAAAAACCGGTAGGACCGGTTCGGTTTGTAAAAAGTGTCCATGGTTCGGTTACCCCTAGATATAATGACTTTTTTAACCTACATACCTTTTGTTCATTACCTTGAGCCCGAAAGCCAAGGTGTTGTACCATGTACACTTCTTCAAGGTCACCATTTAGAAATGCATTCTTGATATCCAATTGGTGAAGGTCCCAATCGAAGTTAGCAGCTAAAGAGAAGAGAACCCTAATGGAGTTGATCTTAGCAATTGGTGCAAAAGTTTTTGCATAATCCACCCCATATACTTGAGTGAACCCTTTTGCCACTAGATGAGCTTTATACCTTTCCATTGTGTCGTCAACCCTATGTTTCATTGTAAATACCCATTTACATCCATCTGGTTATTTTCCCTCAGGAAGATCCACCAATTCTCATGTACCATTTTTATGTAATGCATTAATTTCTTCCTTCATTGCATCTGTCCATTCAGGCACTGAGAGAGCTTTTGCCACATTCATAGGAGTAGGAATAGGAACACATTGAAGAGAGGAATGCCCGAAAGGAAGGTGGAATGTTTTCATAGGAAACAAAATGGGAAATGGGGTGCTTAGTGGTTCAAGACCTAACACCCTTCCAGTGAGCAATAGGGAGGTCAAGATCATTAGCACTAGAGGTATCAATAGCAATAGGGTTAGAAATATCAATGGGAACTAAGGTACCTGGCTGGATAGGATCCGTTCCCGGAGAATTTGATGGCATTGGTGGTACAACTTCTAGATGCTCCACAGCTCTTGAACTTGGTTGGCCTTTGTGACGATGACAGAAAACACGGAAGGGAGGATGATCAGGTAGAAGAGGGTGCTAAATCTAAGGTAGAGGATTTTGAACCTGTTTTTCCTCATGCCTACACTCCCCCTGAGGAGAAATAGGAAAGAAAGGTTCACTCTAAAAAAAGGAGACATCCATGGAAACATGATATTTTCGAGAGACGGGATCAAAGCACTGGTACCCCTTCTGATTTGTAGGGTACCCCAAGAAGATGCAAGGAATAGCACGAGGATCCAATTTACCACGAGTTGTTGACAAGTTTTGAACAAAGCAACGACAACCAAAAACACGGAGAGGAATAGACAAAAGAGGAGCCTTGGAAAACAAAAGCTGATGTGGGGCTTTGTACTCTAACCATCGAGAGGGCATGTGGTTAATGAGATAGGCAGCACAAAGGATAGCTTCAAGCCAAAAACGTTTGGGGACATTCATATGAATCAATAATCCTTGAGCTACTTCGAGAAGATGGCGGTTCTTTCTTTCAGCAACACCATTTTGTTGTGGTGTTCGGGCACAGGAGCTATGGTGAAGCGATCCATGTGAAGCAAAGAACTCCGTGAGATCATTATGGTAATATTCTTTGACATTATCAGATTGGAAGATTTGGATTTTAGTTTGAAATTGGGTGAAAATCATTCTTTGGAAATCTTGGATAATTTTTGGTACTTCATCCCTAGTTCGCATGGGATATACCCATGTGTACATAGAATAGTCATCAATAAAGGTAATAAAATACTTGTAACCACTTTTAGATGGTAAAGTAATTGGGCCCCAAACATCAGAGTGAATGATATGAAAAGGAAATTCAGATTTATTATTCTTTGAAGAAAAGTGAGTTCTACAATGTTTACTCAATTGACAAGTTTGACATATCAACTCTGACATTGATTCTGACTTAAACAACTATGGAAACACAATCTTTAAGGAATCAAAGGATAAATGACCAAGACGACTGTGCGATAAATAGGCCTGACTCTTACTAGATTGACTCTTAGACTCTGTGCCTACAAGACCAGCCTTATTCTCCAGCAAGTAGACACCATCCACTATATGCCTTCTACCAATCATCTTCTCCGAGGCCAAATCCTGAATCACACAATAAGAAGGGGAGAAGGTTACTGAACAGTTTAAAGAATTGGTTATACTACTAACAGAAAACAAATTAATAGGGAATTGAGGAACATGTAAAACATTAGAAAGGGTAAGGCCAAAAGGAAGAGAAATGGTTCCTTGACCAGCTATGGTAGAGAATGAACCACTAGCCAGTGTCACTTTGTCTCTTCTAGAGAGGAGATGATAGGTCTGAAAGTAAGTAGACTTACCAGCCATATGTTTTGACGCTCTAGAATCAATTAACCAAGGAGAGTTAGAGGAATGAGATGATACATGGAGAGCTGTGGCAGAATTACCTGATGTAGACGCATATGAAGTTGATGGAGGAGGAGCATCCATCTGGCGGATGGCCCTACCATAAAGTTCTAAATGATCACGGAACGAATTAATGATATCCTCCCTAGGGTCAGAACCAGGTGTATGTCTGAACTGCAGTAGTAGTCGGGGGCTGGTTCTCTTGAGTAGCCATGTTCGTTGTAGTGAATTTCCTTGAACCTTGCTGTCTTAACTTCTTATTCAGATCTGAGCCCTGTTTCTTACTCAATTCCTGAGCCCATTTCGGCTTCCCATGAAGGTCCCAACATGTGTCACGAGTGTGTCG